AAAAAAAATTTAAAAAAAAAAAAAAAAAGGAAAGTCACCTCTATAAATCTGAATTCTTGTCTATGAAATTAAGATAATAATATTACTAAGATTGTTGTGAGTATAAAGTAAATCAATTGCAGAGCCACCCGCACCCGATATGTGTGCAATAAATAATAGTTCCCCCAAGGCACACTGCATTAATCCAAAGAAAAGTATAAATGGGGAGGAAAAAAATTGAATAGAACCAAAAAATAAGGTAGAGGAAACAAATATGGAGATTACAATAATTATAAATGATTCATCTACTAAATGACAGTCTCAAATTAGGTTAAAAACAGTTTACAAAAGACATGTCTGAAAAGATAAGAGTTCCCTCTTTAGGCTGGGTGCGGTGGCTCACATCTGTAATCCCAGCACTTTGGGAGGCTGAGGCAGGCAGATGACTTAAGGTCAAGAGTTCAAGACCAGCCTGGCCAACATGGCAAAACCCCATCTCTACTAAAAATACAAAAAAAATTAGCCAAGTGTGATCTCAGCTACTCAGGAGGCTGAGGATTACTTGAACCCGGAAGCTGGAGGTTTCATTGACCCAATTGCACCACTGCACTCCAGCCTAGGCAACAGAGCAAGACTTCATCTCAAAAAAAAAGTGTTCCCTCTTCACTTTACCCATTCTTTGAAGCCTAAGGACCACCTGCAGCCCTTGCACTGCAGACAAACCTGGTCAGTGCTTCATCAGTTCATGACTATAACCCCTTATTCATGGCATAAAATGGTGGCAAGTGGATTATCTATAAAATAAAGGCTCAAAATTCTTTTAGGCACCAAGATTTTTATTTACCCACATTCCTGCTTTCTTTTAACATTATAAACATTATAGGCCAAATTATTCTCTTTTTGCCCCAGGGTTGTAATAGAAACCATCTGGTTACAAAGTGGTGGCAGAGCTATGCCTGTTTTTATATTTTTCTGGCCCCTCTCAACCTCTAACTGTCACTTTTCTGTTCTTTCTCAGTTGCCTCTTAACAGTCTATTCTAACCCCTGTAAAACAAGGACTAAAAGTACTAACCTCATTGTTATGAGGTTTAAGAGAAGGCCCAGCACTAAGCCAGGCCCTGAGGAAAATTCAAACAACAGTTCCTCTTTGCCCTTCAGTATACTTCTTTGTCATCTATCTGTCATGCGCTTAGGAACCACTGGACCTGTAAACCAAGCACATAGGTCTAAGCCCACAGACCAGGTGAAGGCCTAGATGGCAAAATATGCATGGGCTTTGTGACTCCACTACTGACTTCAAGGCTAAGGAAGGTGTGCAGTTCCAAGACCACTGAGCTCATGGTTCTCATGGCTGATACCTCCATCATGACCAGGGCTTAAGGAGAGGCCTCTCAGTTCCCACTGCCACACCTGAACGGTATGAGGGCTGCAGCAGAGGCCAAAAACTGAGTCACTAGCCCCAGAGAGTCCATGGGGGACACTGACAAACCAATCACAAAGTTGGTGCCGTTTGCTCTTAGGGAGGAGAGGCGAGGCCTGGGCAAGGACAGCAGCTGGAAGGCAAAGCGCAGACCTGGCTCTCAGTAGCGGTAGTGATCCGGCTTGAAGGGGCCATCACGGGACATGCCCAGGTACTGAGCCTGCTTCTCTGTCAGCTTGGTCAACTTCACGTTCAGCTTGCCCAGGTGGGCTTCAGCCACTGCCTCATCCAGCTAGGAAGAAACAAATGAAGACCAAGAATCAGTGCCATGCTCTGGGACCCCCTACGTGTGTCTGGCTGCCAATAGAGGCAGAAGTGTTCTGTTGCAACGGGTATTTGCCATGTGTGGTACTCACGTTAACCCATTCTATTCTCACACCCAGACTCAGTTAATGTGTTGTTTTGGCTGCCCAGCCCTCAAAAGGGAACCATGCTACACCCTCTCTCCGTGTAGCCCGGACATCAATTATATCTCCTTCCTCATTCTTCAACCCAAGCAGCTAACCAAAACACTTCTCTGGAATTGGTCTATGGACAGAACATATTTTCCATGATAGGTAGAGACAACGTGCTCCAATCCCACTGGGATTCCTAAACAGGAAAGGGTGTGTATCAGTCTGAGCTCACCAGTCGCAAGTCTATTTCACAAGTGAAATGAAGGTAGAACCAAGAGACGGAAAGACAGAGCTATTATGACACTGAATCCTAGGTTTCCAGTGTTTGGATCCAAGAATAAAGCTTTTTTGGATTAAACTGGTTTCTTTTTTGATTAAAATGTATCTATAAATTCTTTGATACTCCTTTAAGAATTAGAGCCTCAGGAGAGAGATCAAGATGGTCGTTTAGCAGCAGCTCAGGATTGCAGCTCCCAATGAAGGCGCAGGGAGTGAGTGGACGCCAGACTTTCAGATGAATTTTTGTTGCCCACAGACCAGGAGATTCCCAGCGGAGGAGCCCCACGGCTTGCCAGCGCGACTCTTTTGGCCAGCGCAGCTGTTTTGCCGGCATCCCGGCACAGTGGTTCTCAGTGTGGAGTATGCGGGGGACTGGGTACCCTTTTAGTTGTTATTTGGAGCTCCGGGAAGGCAGAGTCGCCCATTCAGCTGATTGAAAAGGAGACTGAAGCGGGGAGCCAGACCGGGAGATTCCTGGGCAGTTTCAGCCGGTGCAGTTGCCGCACGGGAAATTGATCCCGGCACCTTTTCGGCGGGCAACTGGGCACCTGGGAGAGAATCGACCGTTCAATTAGGAAAAGAAAAAAAGGGGACTGAGGCGGGGAGCCAGGTGATAGGGCTTGGCTGGTCCCACCCCCACAAAAAAACAGCACTTGGAAACGCTGACAGTTGAGAGTGTCACAGCAAGCACAGCTGAACCTGGGAAGGTCCAGCTCTGTAGGGGAGGGACATCCACCAAAGGAAAACAAAAAAATAGAAATAACATCATCACCAACAAGCTGGACGTCCACTCAGAGACCCAATCTGAAAGTCAGCAATTACAAAGACAACAGGTGGATAAATCCACAAAGATGGGAAGAAAGCAGCGCAAAAAGGCTGAAAACGTCCAAAATCAGAATGCCTCTCCTCCTTCAGAGGATCGAAGCTCCTCATCAGCAAGGGAACAAGGCCTGATGGAGAATTAGTGTGATGAATTGTCAGAATCAGACTTCAGAAGGTGGATAATAAGAAACTTCTGGGCCGGGCGCGGTGGCTCAAGCCTGTAATCCCAGCACTTTGGGAGGCCGAGGCGGGTGGATCACGAGGTCAAGAGATCGAGACCATCCTGGTCAACATGGTGAAACCCTGTC